GGGGCTGGAGGAGCAACGGGTGGACGAGTTGGGGGTTGGCACTCAGGAACTGAAGGTTGGGCTACAAGGGGGTGGAATGGTGGTTGCGGTGGTGGGTGATCAAAGGGGTTGGGAGGTTGAGCAGCCGGGGGCGTAAGAAGAGCAACCCCCTGATCTTTAATAGTCTTCAAGCACGAGAGCATCTTCTGGAACAACAGCGATTGTGCGTCCTGCGCCTTCCGGACATTGTCTAGATCCATTCGAAGCAACCCAGCTTCGAGAGGGGTAGCCTCATTGCCAACCCGTTGTCTGTCGATCGTCGGCTGCTGCAGTGTCGCTGGATTTCCTGCCATCGCAAATTGGTCTCGTTTACGATTGTCACTTTTGTCTCCATTTTTTCCATTCTCCCATTCTTTATGAGATTTTTATCCTTCTCTACTTTATCCCAACTAGTCCTAGTATTCTCTCCAGAGGCAACTTTGTTTTTGCCTCCATCTCCTCCATCTGTTCCCTAACAAGCTTAACCATTCTAGCTTCTCGATCTGCCTTTTTCTTCTCTTCAGCCTCAAACCTACTCTGCTCATTTTCTCGAGCAATCCTGGTTTGTTCATCCCTAATCCTTCGGTCCTCCTCTTCCCGCCTGCGCTCCCTTTCTTCCCGTCGATCATTCCATATTTCCCTCAGAATCATCATCGCCTCGTTGTCCAAACCTACCCCCCTTTGCCTATTCCATCCTCACCCGTTGTTACCGCCGAAAACACCATGTGGTGGTTAATAAGGAATGATGGCATTCAACGTAGATGGCACAACTGTTCTTGAAGACGCTCCTTTGGGAGCTTGAAGAAGCGGAGGCTGTAATCCATGGGAAGGAGGGACACGCGCTGGAAGAGGAGCATGCAGTGGGGGGAGGCGAAGGAGGTGGAGGGACTGCAAGTGGTGGAAGTGGGGGAGCCGACGGCGCATGTGCAACGTTGTAAATAGGACGTCCTTGCACATATCATGCCGCGTCGTGCTTTTGCTCGCCAGCCCCGTACGCATCGTTGCGCTGGGGGTAAGGACACCATCGAGCATAATGACCATACATTCCGCAATTATAACAATTGTCATACCCGCCTCGTTGCCCGCCATCCGCCATGAAAAAAAAACGTCGAACTCCCAGGGTACGAGCCCTTCTGTAACACAAATAGGCAAAAATCCGAACCTAACCAGTTAATTGGTCCGTAGTGATCAGTCCCTAAAATTTCATAAAAGGAAGAAAAAATGAGAGAAAAAAGAAGAAGAAGAAGAAGAAGAAGAAGATGGCGAGTAAGAGGAAAAAGGAGGCGGAAAATCAGTAGAAAGGAGTAAGAACCGTGAAGATGGTATGTACAGCCGCGCATATGACATGCCACCTAAAGCAGTCTTCTTTGATAGCTAAACTAGCGTTTTCCACCACCCCGTGAATAACACGGTGGTTAAGACGCTCCTCAAAGAGCAGAGGATGAGTTGAAAAACATCCTGTGAGGTTGTAGCGCCGACTCGAGGCTTGCACAGACGAAAAGCAAAGTAATCAACCGCGACCATAGTTACACAGTAACGATGAGCACGGGAGGGGAAAAAAAAAGAGTGAAGAAGATGAGGGGAATAAACGCTGGTAGACACAGAGTAGCGCAAAAAAATATTGCTTCGTTAAAAAGATAACATAAAAAATGGAAGCAAAATGACGAGTCTCCTGCAGACTTCCGACATGTTTCGGCTGTGTCACCGGCACAACCATCATCAGGGGAGGTAATTGCGCTTACCAGCACATGGACAAGGGGGGATATATACCAACGATCCTGGTCTTCCAAGCAGAGAACAGCCTCGGCTCTGTGATTCTTGGGAGAGAGAGAGAGAGAGAGAGAGAGAGAGAGAGAGAGAGAGAGAGAGAGAGAGAGAGCATAAAAAAAGATAAAGGAAGTGACGTCATCGTAGAGACTGAGAGTGGCGGGAAAACCAAGGTCAAGGACAATAGACAAGAAAAATATATTGAAAGAAAAGAAAAGAAAAGAAAAGAAAAGAAAAGAGGACTTGCCAAGGGAAAAACGGAGAAACGTACGTCGAAAATAGCAAAGTGTCACGTGGATGGCTCTGAGAGGGCTGTCACAGTATCTTATTGCAGCACCGGGGCGATATGCAGAATCGCATGACAGTGTATTGAGCCGATACCACCAGTAGATTTGATGCTCATTCGTGACTTGTCCCCTCATTGATGACAAAACGTGACGTTGTTTCACCCTCCGGTATCAGGAGAATTTTTCACCAAAACCCTCTTGCAGAATACGTACCCACCCGTTCTAGCAACCCTGGTTTTAACTAAAAACTCATCAACCGCTTTAAGGAAGATTTTTCCAGGAAACCTCTTGAACCTTAATTCCCTTCTCTCCGCGGACCAAGGGGTAGGTTTGCACCACTGCATGGTGCGAGAGTGAGGATGTACCAGCCCCTCATCATGGTGATCTCGAGTGGGCAGGAGTTGTCCATCCATTCATGGAGGAAACCGGCTGAGCACTGTGGTCAGTGGCTGCATCTCCCCTTTCCCCACCCCCTAGCCCTACACTAGGGTTATCTAATAGCCAATATGGTTGTTGCATAGCACCCAACAATATTGACTTACCGTGAGGGCACGGGTGCGCAGCCCGTAGTTTGTATATGCTTGATTGATAAAGTAGGCGTTATTGGTGAGGTTTAGAAGTAGGGTGATTGTTGCATGAAAAAAAAGGAGTATTTGTGTATATGTGTCAAGATTAGTGTGTGTGTGTTTGTGTGATACTTAGGGTGTTTGTGTTTATCACATCTGTTAGTGTTGGAATGCGTGGGATTTAGGTAATTTGTATGGTATTAATGTATTAGATATTTGACATACCTTGATTCATAGTTGGTGTCGAGGCTGGTGGTCCTTGAATCTTGGTCCATATGTCGTATATGTGTGTGCTTGAGTGTTTGAATGTTGTAAGTTTTTTTTTATAATTAAATATTAAATAAAAGTTGTTTATCACATGTGACTCACTCAATCGAGCGCTGAACGTGTGGGGCGAATACGTCCACGTTCAAACACATCTGTTTGCACTTGCAAATGCAATGCAGGTGTGTCGTTTCAACCCTTTCTGATTCAGACTTTTCCACTTTTCCACCCTGCCGCTGCTTTGCCATCGTTTCGATCAAAACCCAGCACGCGGTCCCACGAGCTGTTACTAGTTCCGCATTTTTCAAAGAAACCGCCACCACCCCCCAAAGTGTCGTGGCTGCGCCTGCTTGCATTTTTTGAACCTTCCAACGACCAAACGAGCCCGAATCAACGACCGGTATAACGAAGGATGGCGAAAATGTCTCCGTGGGAAATGTGTAAAGGGGAAAAAACGCACTCCTGACGGGCTGCAAGCTTTTCCACTTTTCCACCCTGCCGGTGCTTTGCCACCGTTTCGACTGTGCCCAAAACCCTGCGCATTGTCCCACGGGCAGCTACCAGTCCCGCATTTTTCAAAGAAACTGGCACCAACCCCCAAAGATCCACCCTGCCACTGCTTTGCCACCATTTCGACCAAAACCCAGCGTGCGGTCCCACGGGCAGCTACCCTTCCCGCATTTTTCAAAGAAACTGTCACCAGCCCCCAAAGTGTCGTGCCTGCACCTGCCTGCATTTTTCAAACCTTCCAACGACAAAACGAGCCCGAATCAACGGCTGGTATATGAAGGACGACGAAAATGCCTCGGGGGGAAATGTCTCAGGGGGGGAAAACGCACCCCTGACGGGCTGCTGCAAACTTTTCCACTTTTCCACCCTGCCGCTGCTTTGCCACCATTTCGACCAAAACCCAGCGCGCAGGCCCACGGGCAGCTACCACTCCCGCATTTTTCAAAGAAACTGCCACCCCCCCCCAAAGATCCACCCTGCCACTGCTTTGCCACCATTTCGACCAAAACCCAGCGTGCGGTCCCACGGGCAGCTACCCTTCCCGCATTTTTCAAAGAAACTGTCACCAGCCCCCAAAGTGTCGTGCCTGCACCTGCCTGCATTTTTCAAACCTTCCAACGACAAAACGAGCCCGAATCAACGGCTGGTATATGAAGGACGACGAAAATGCCTCGGGGGGAAATGTCTCAGGGGGGGAAAACGCACCCCTGACGGGCTGCTGCAAACTTTTCCACTTTTCCACCCTGCCGCTGCTTTGCCACCATTTCGACCAAAACCCAGCGCGCAGGCCCACGGGCAGCTACCACTCCCGCATTTTTCAAAGAAACTGCCACCCCCCCCCAAAGATCCACCCTGCCACTGCTTTGCCACCGTTTCGACCAAAACCCAGTGCGCGGTCCCACGGGCAGCTACCGGTCCCGCATTTTTCAAAGAAACTGCCACCCCCCCCCAAAGTGTGGTGCCTGCACCTTCCTGCATTTTTCGAACCTTCCAACGACCAAACGAGCCCTTATCAAGGACCGGTATAACGAAGGAAGACGAAAATGTCTGGGGGGGAAATGTCTCAGGGGGGAAAACGCACCCCAGACGGGCTGCGAACTGGGCCCTGGCAACGCTGGCCCAGGGTACCTACGGGCTATCTCTGGACCGTAGTAGGACAGCTTCAACCGGGCAAGTACTGGTAGGTGCGCCCCCCCCCTCTACCACGCTATTTCCATGACTGAAAAGCATGCATCTCGCCGTCATAACGCCCAGGATCCTTCCTTTTTACCGTACACATGGCACCACCACCGGTTGTGTCCCGCCCTCATGTGCAGCTTCCTGCTCACTTGGCACGGACATAGCACCAGCTGCAGCCTGCGGTTGCCGACTACGGTACCGGCAGGCGACCCCGTGAAAGCGAAAGCAGGCCTGGTTGGTCGTTGAGGGCCATGCAGAACTACGTCGAGCACGGGGCTACGTTGACGTCAACACAAAATGTAGTTGTAGTTGGACCGTGTGATTGATCCATCCAATCAGTCCTCGTCGTTTTCCTGTCCTTCTCTTTTCTTTTTTTTTTTTCTTTTTTTTTTTTGTTCCTGTCCTGGTTCACTGGACATGACAATCGCCTTTGGCCTTTTCTGCGCCATGATACCCTCTCCTGTGGTGGTCCCATTGTTGGTGAGGTTCGTGAAGATGGCCAGGCCTGGGGCGATGGTGGAAGAGGTGACGATACCTGCTCGATTCTTAGCGGCGATGGCGCACCTGCTGACAGTCTTGACGCTCTTATTCGACGTGGCAAGTTGCTCATCTCTTTTTTGTTGTGCCTTTTTTTTTCGTTCATCTCGTTATTGAAATTGATGAAATTAACAAAAATAAAAAATAAAAAAATAAAAATAAAAATGATGAAATTGAAAAAGGGCGACGGCCTTTAGATATCATCGGTGCACTGACCGGCGGGCCCAGGCAAGTCGGAATCATTTAGTATTTTGGTCTCTCTTCATCTGATCTGAGGGGTATCTGCGTTCGAACTTGGAGGGGGGTCTGTATTTCCACAGTTTAGTGTTTAAGGGGGGGGGGGTGTACCAACTGAGCTAGCTACCGTAGGGCTGTCGGTACCAAGGAGGTGCTGATCTCGCGACCCTTCATGCAGCTGCATCTTCATTGTAGTTGAGAAACTTTGAATCTGGTCATCTTTTTCACACCGGATTGGCGCTGAGTTGTGAGATGCTGCCGTCTTCCCCCGAACACAACACACCCTCATACAGGCATGTATGTACGTATGTATACAAGGTGTTTTTCTTTTTTTCCAGCCTGATACAGGCATAATGAGAGTGCGTTGTGTTCGGGGGGCAAGACGATAGTTCTGGAGTATCTCATCATCGTACCGCCATTCGAACTCTCTTTGCGCGCGGGGAGACATATCAAGAGTGAAGCTTGTTCCAAGCCTGCAAATGCGGACCAGGTTCATGCATGCATAAATGTATATATGTGTATATATCGTCACAAAGTTATCAGCTTGCCAAAGCGAAAAAACAAAACAACTAAAGGAAACAAGAAAGATATCAATTCATTTTTTGTCTTCTTCCTTACAAGACTCCCCCTGTTTAAAAAAAAAAAAAAAAAAAAACCCTCTTGCGTACAAGGCCGCCCAAGTAGGTGTAGGCTGAGCGGCGGCTGCCCCCGTGTATACGTGTATATATATGTATGTGTATATATATTGTCACATTCTGAATCAGAGCGCAAAAAAGGGGAAAGAAAAAAGGAAAAGGAAAAAAGGGGGAGGGGGAAGAGGTAAGGAAAGCTCCACCTGTTCATAACCTCTTACGTACAAGGCCAGCCACGTGGATGACAGGTTGAGCGCTGGCTGCCCCCATCCCCGTGTGTCACAAGGACCCACTT